GACCACGGCCTTCTCACTTCCCCGTGATGACCCTGCCCTCCTCCGCTCCTCCCCAGAGTCACCTACGCCTGCCTGGTGCTGGTCATCCTGGTCATGAGGCTCACCAACACCAACGGGGAGGTGGTGCCCATGTCCTTCGCCCTGGTGCTGGGCTGGTGCAACGTCATGTACTTCGCCCGAGGGTTCCAGATGCTGGGCCCCTTCACCATCATGATCCAGAAGGTCCGTGCCTCCCCCACTTGTCCCCTGTGCTCAGCTACGGGCCTGCTGGAAGGGGGCTCCCAGAGCATGCTCAACAGAGGCCACACTGTAACTCTTAGGCCGTGTGGGCAGTAGGCGGTCTCTTTCCTACTCCTCGTTCTCTGGTTTCGCCTCCACCACGTCTTCCTCCCTCCCCTTCACCTCCCTCCCCCTCTTCCTTCTACGACTCTTTCAAAGCATGAGAAGCATTGTTTGAGGTAGTTCTAGTCTACAGGCTCAGTCTAGAGCAGTGGTTCTCAACCTGTGGGTCCTGACCCCTTTGGGGGGCAAACGACCCTTTCCCAGGGGTCACCTAAGACCATCGGAAAACACATAGATATTTCACAATATATAATTACATATGGTTTTGTGATTAACCACAATGCTTTAATTATGTTTAATTATGTTCAATTCGTAACAATGAAGATACATCCTGTATATCAGATATTTACATTACGATTCATAACAGTAGCAAAATTACGGTTATGAAGTAGCAATGAAAATAATGTTATGGTTGGGGGTCACCACAACATGAGGAACTATATGAAAGGGTCCCGGCATTAGGAAGGTTGAGAACCACTGGTCTAGAAGGTCGTAGAGGACGAGCTTTGGGGGAGCCTGTGGGAGGCCGGCAGAAGTGCCAAATGCTTAGGATGCACAGGGCAATGCTCTCCGTCTTCCTGCTAGATGATCTTTGGAGACCTGATGCGTTTCTGCTGGCTGATGGTTGTGGTCATCCTGGGCTTTGCCTCAGGTGAATAACCTGCCCTGGCCGGGTCCTGGGGGGGGGGGGTGGTGGCTGATGGGACCTTACAGGGCAGAGGACCCCTGAGCAAGCTCAGGAAAGGATGGGAAGAGAGGGTCGAGAGGATGGACCCTAAGGGAGGGCGACGGAATGCTCGGAAGAGGTGGACCTTAGTCAGGAAGAGCCTTGTGAAAGATGGCCTGTGTAACAAAGGCATTGCAGGGCTGAGACCGGGCTGGTGATGAGGGAACTGGGGTGCAAAGGGGACCCAGGAGCTGTTGTGGGCTGACCATGTGTGTGTGTTGGTAACCTTCACCCCTTGGCTGGGGCAGCCTTCTACATCCTCTTCCAGGCCGAGGACCCCCATGAGCTGGGCCATTTCTACAACTACCCCATGGCTCTGTTCAGCACCTTTGAGCTCTTCCTCACTGTCATCGATGGCCCTGCCAACTACGACGTGGACCTGCCCTTCATGTTCAGCGTCACCTATGCCGCCTTTGCCATCATCGCCGCACTGCTCATGCTCAACCTCCTCATCGCCATGATGGGTGACACCCACTGGCGGGTGGCCCACGAGCGGGATGAGCTCTGGAGACTTCAGGTGAGACCCCTGGAGGCTGGGAGGGCTACTGCAGGCCCCCCTGTGGCTGCTCAGGAAGAAGCTGGTATTCTGTCTCCTCCCTGTCAGTAGGCATGGTTATTGCCCCCTCCCCGCAACACACACATTTTGCATAGTTATTGCGCATCGCAAAAGCCAGCAGCTATGCATTGTGGGAGAATGGACAACGCCATGCGCAGTCCTGCAGTATGAAGCCCGCTGCCGATGAACCCACTTGCTCCCTTGGCTAGGTTTTCAGGGGGCTGCTCTTTCACATGAAGACTGCCAGGCCTTTCTTCCAAGTGCCCCTGGGGTGGACTCGAACCTCCATCCTCTCGCTTAGAGGCTGGGTGAGGTCACCATTGGCACCACCCAGAGACTGCATTGCAGGAATAGCTGAAAAGGGCACCACGTGATTTCTCCACCCCAAGGGGAGGGAGATTAAACTCGAAACCAAACCCACTGCTGCCGGGGCCATTCCAACTCAGAGTGACCACACAGGGACTGGGCTGCTCCCATGGGTCTATGAGGCTGTGAATCTTTACAGAAGCCGACAGCCTCAACTTCCTCCCGCAGACAGCCGACAGATTAGAACCAGCTTTTCACTCAGCAGCCTGATGCTCTTAACCCACAGCCCCACCAGGGGTACCTCAAAAAAATAGCAACAACTGCCCCCCCAAAAACCAACCTCACTGGCATCGAGTCGATGCCTACTGATAGCAATCCCGATGGACAGGGTAGAACTGCCCCAGTGGGCTCCTGAGACAGTAATTCTTTATGGGAGGAGAAAGCCCCATCTTTCTCTGTCGTCAGGACTGCTGATTTTGAACAGCTGACTGCAGTTAGCGGCCCAAAGATTAGCTAAGGGAAGGAAAAACAAAAATGAAAATCTTAGTCCTCTAGAATAATCAGGATGGAGCAGCCAGCAGTGGGCGGAGCCGGATTCTGTATCTCTCATGACAGAGGGAAAAACGCCAGCATCAAGCCTTCTTGACAATATTTAAGTCTGCAAAATGTGTCCAGAGAAATGGGACTTCTTAAGGACGATCCCACACACTTCCCACGGTGGCAACAGCTGTCTTCAGACACATCACCCCGATGCGGTGAAAGACTGCTACGTAATAAAAAAACCCATGGCATAAAATATTCTTAGAAAGTGATTTATCACAGCAAAAGTCAGTCCAGCAAAATAAAACGGGTCGTTGGACCCCCTCAGAGACCCCTGGGAAGTGCTGGGAGAAAGAAAGCGGCGTAAGAAACAGGCTGAATGCAGGCGAGGGATGAAAAGCCCCGCCCTGAGAGCCAAGTCTGTAGGATTTGACTTGTCTAAGCGGCTGCTAGGTTTGCCAGGTCCAAAGACCCTAGAATGTCCCAAGCATCCTTGGTCAGAGGTTCACACTTGTCCATTTTCCTCGGAAACCATTATTCACTTCCTTGCCCTATGAGAGTCACGGGCCACGACCCGACGAGGGCAGGTGGATTAGAGGCTCCTCTTCTCCCCCACCCACTTCCTCAGCTTGTTGGCTGGGCCCCATCCCCTGACTGCCCTCTGGCCCCGCCCAGGTCGTGGACACCACTGTGATGTTGGAGCGCAAGCTGCCTCGCTGCCTGTGGCCTCGTGCAGGCATCTGTGGCCGAGAGTATGGTTTGGGGGACCACTGGTACCTGCGGTGAGTGGCATGCGGGTTGGGGTGTCAGCACGGGGGGCCCTGGGAGGGTTGTCTGTGCCCACCCTACGCTGGGAGCTGAGCTGCTGCTAAGGGGAAGGCTAGGGGTGCGGGAGGAGTTCAGCACCCACTGGCATGATGACCAGAGGGCAGGAAGGGGATGGGCAGGTGGCCCCTGCAGGCGGACGAGCTCTCAGGCCTGGTCCTCTGCAGGGTGGAAGAAAGGCAGGACCTTAATCGGCAGCGCGCACAGCGCTACGCGCAAGCCTTCCAGAGCCTGGGCTCGGACAGCTTGGAGGACCCCTCTGCGCAGAAGCTGCACCTGTACTGCACCCCCAGCCAGCACCTGCCCCTGCCCCTGCCCACACCGTCCGTGTCTCGGAGCACTTCCCGTAGCAGCACCAACTGGGAGAGGCTGCGGCAGGGGGGCTGGCGCCGGGAACTGCGGGGCGAGATCAACAGGGCCCTGCAGGAGGACGGCGACCGCTGGGAATTCCAGATCTGAGCACCGGCCGCCTCCAGGAGCGGTGGACACCAGAGCACAGCCTGTCAGGGCTGGGTGAAGGGCCTAGGTGGAGATCCCGAGTGGGACTCAGAGACCCTACGAGCCAGGCCAGCAGGAGCTCTGCTCGGGGCACAGAGGACCACTTTGGGGCTCTGGACGCACCCACACAGCTGGGCAACCGAAGGCATCAGTGTGCTGCCAGCCCCTTCCAAGGGACCACTGCACTGTCAGCCAAGCACTTTAGGGGCAGCTGCCAGTCGAGTCCAGCCCCCACCCTGCATGGTAAGTGGGAGGCACAGCCCTCCCGTGGTGCTGCAGACCGCAGGGCACTGGTCTGTGGACTTGGGTCTGAGGAAGACAGGTGCTGTTCCAGGCAGTGGGGGCCACTCACCCCACCTTCCAATAAAGTCACTCCTGTTCTTGTCTGGCCCTGAGCTCCTCTACATCCTATGCCCACTGTGACTCTACTGCCCATGCTCGGCACTTCCTTGAAGACCCCCCTCGCCACCCTTGCCGACTAAGAGCACCATGCAGCCAACTTGTGAAATCCCTTCTTTTGCCTTAATGTGTGTGTGTGTGTGTGTGTGTGTGTGTGAGGGTGTCAGGGGGACAGTGTCCACAAGGCAGGCTACATCCTCCCAGGCCACGACCTGGACCTAGCTGGCCGTCTCTGGTCCCTGCTAAGGGCTGTGGAGGCTGGGCATGTGTCCTGGGCCTCAGACTTCTACCGTGCCCGGGGGCGGCCGCAAGTGCTGCTGCAGGAGCTGGACGTTGTGCAGGAGTTTCTTCTGGTGGCCAGCCAGGGTAACACCGAGGGCGGGCAGGTCCCTGGAGGGAGGGCTCCATGAGGCCTGGGCTGCACACCCCACGTTCCGCCCCCCCCACCCCCAGGGTGCCCCACCTGCTTACTCAAGGCTGAGCTGGGCCACATCCCGGAAAGAGCAGAGGCCCTGCCTGGCGAAGTTGTCCTGGTAGCATTCGAGCCCGATGGCCGAGAGCCAGGCCTGTGGGGAGTCCAGGGACAGGAAGTCCAGAGCCACAGGGTCCAGAAGGGCCTGGGAAGGTCTTGGGGAAGGGGTGAGGGGAGAGAGGTCATGGTTGCCTCTCTATCTTAGCCAGCCCCTTCATCTGTTTTGTTTTCTTCTGCCTCCAAATCCAACCCACTACCCCACAATCCCCCCAGGCTGTAGAGCCCCATTCCTGACCTGTCCTGGGGGCCTCCACTAGCCTGCAGCGTGTCTGGCTTTCGGATCATCTTGTCCAGGGCTGCCACCAGCTGGTCAAAGTGGGGACGCTGGGCACGGTCCTTCTGCCACGTGTCAAGCATCAGCAGATGCAGCCCAGGAGGACAGCCTGGGGGTGGGGGCAGCCGGAACTCCTGCTCTATGGCCCTTAGCACCTGGGGTCAGAGGGGGGGGGGGTGCGTGGGAAGGCAGTGCTAGCAGAGGAAGTGGGGTCACCAGTGGAGGTTGGAGCAGGAAAGGGACATAACATGGACAGGAGAGTCCCTGGGTCTTGGAACGTGAGTGGGGCCATAGAACGGGCATCTTCAGGGGGTGATGGTGGTGGCGGGGGACTCACCTCCTGGTCACTCATGTCCCAGTAAGGCCGTTCTCCGTAGCTCATCACCTCCCACATCACAACCCCAAAGCTCCAGACATCACTGGACGTGGTGTGCTTTGCGTGCGTGATGACCTCGGGAGCTGCCCAACGGAGCATGCAGCCCAGACCCTGGAGGCCAGGAGGGTTAGTCACAGGGGCTGTGAGCCAGGTGGGATGCAGGCTCCAATCTCCATCCTGTGTCTCCCTCACACCCCTGGGAGTGACCCAGCCAGCTTGTCCAAGCAAGGCCCCTGCGATCTGTGTTTGAGTCCTCTATGCTGGGGGGTGGAGTGGGGTAGGCTTCTGTTCACACTATGGATTCACATCGAGGCACCTATGGGCTGCACATTTGAGGGGCCTGCCTCCAGCATGCTCACACCCCCGCATGAGGGGCCCACCTCCTTCCTGCACACCCACGCCCCCACACCCACCTGTGGTGAGTGTCCAAGGTGGGCAACCTTGCACACCAGGTGGCTGTTGACCAGCACGCTGCGAGCAGACAGGGCTCGATGGACGAAGCCGAAGCTGGCCAGGTGCTGCAGGGCCGCCGCCACGCCCCTCTGCATGGCCACCAGCTGCAGGCTGCTGAACTGGCCTTCTCGTTGCTGGGAAACCAAACACACTCACAGCCACGCAGTCGAGGCGACTCACGAGGAGAGGGCAGAGTCAGCACAAGG